AACGTACATCTATGCACTTGCAGACACTATGGTTTTATAAATTGAAAACTTTTTAGGACCAATTGGCCTGTAAAAAACACAATCCTAGGCCCGCACCCATCAATCGCCTCTCGACTTCCATCTTTGTCAGAATGTCATCTGGAATTTGACGGAATCATCGTCGGAGTTAGCAAGTCTTCACTCTGAAATATGAGATAATCCCAATTTGATCTCCTTCAAACAATTTTTCAACTTCTTCGAAACTTTAATCGAAATCTCAAATTTTAAGGAAACTATAGTGGTTTAGGAAAAAAATTGGGGGGTTTTGAAAATTTTTATGCTCAAACTATAGGTCGGCAAAAAAATTTTCTTGAATCTTAAATCATTTTAGAACCATTACCAAACTGCAGATCATCAGAATTCGAAACCCAGGTCTGAATTTCAATTCGGAAGGCCTCCCTAATATTCAGGAATGATTCATAGTGGTTTAGGAATGTCTTCCTGAATCATTAGACCTTCAGGAATACCTTTAAGATGTTTATGTATTTGTTGTTTATATACCTACAAGTCTCAATAGTTTGTTTTAATCTTTGTATCATCCACTTTTTTTTTACAGTTTTAATTATATATGTTTACATGTACAAACATGGACAAGTCTTTCCGTGAGAAGTTTATTAGGATGATTTTGGAAGCCTTTCCTAAAATATTAAGATACCTTATTGAATTTTCAATTCAAGAAGACTTTCCTAAGTTTCAGGAAGGAATTCGTAATAGTTTAATAAGGTCTTCATAAATAATAAACCATCAATGATCACGTTTTAAATATCTCTTAAATATTTCGAGTGTATGAAATGTTTATGTATATGTTGTTTAACAAACCTTTTCTCTTGATTTGATTGGGTCTAAGACATTTTGTGATGAATGAAGATGATTGGATATCATTAAGAAGCAAGTAGGTTTGTAATACTTTTGAAGAGTATGTTGATTCAGACCAAAAATAAGTTGCTTACATTTTAATTTCAGACCAAACTACAGATTGTTAAACTTTTGGAATCCATGTTTGAATTTTCAATTAGGGAATGCCTCCCTAAATATTCTGGAAGGATTCATAATAATTTAGGAATGTCTTCATGAATCGTATATCTTTCAAAAAACAATAAAACAAAGAAAAATAAGCAAGTGATCTATGTATTTTGTGAAGACGATGAAGCCAAAATTGAAATCTTTGACGATTTACTGATAAAAGGATGTGTCGTTCCTGTTAAAGATATAGGAAGAGAAGTGTATGGTGATTCATACAGATTGGAGAGAGACCCAAAGTTTTTTCAAGATAGAGCAATTCTTAACCCGAGAAATGCAGACATGGGATTACTAAACGAATACATATTGTCGGAAATACAAAGTAAACATATTTAACTCTTTATAAATATATGATCTTACATTTGAGCTTCATATCTTTATTTTAAGTTATACCTTAGTGAACTTTGTTTAACATTGTTCTAGGTGAGGAACATACATATTTTAGCCTGGACAGTATTGATAATTCTGATAAGGGTAAGACTGACAAAAAAGTCTACACCCAGAAGTATCTTAATAGTATTAAGATCTCAAGATTACTAACCATAGATTGAAATTGAAAATTAGAACACTTATTATGTTGCTTCGGAATATTGACCCTAGAGGTGGTTTATGCAGTAGAACAAGACTCTTGGTAACATAATCGGCCAAACATGTTATTCAAGTTAGCCACATAACTGGTGAGTATATTGGTCAAAAGGTCTTGATCCCACATAACCGGGACAAGGTTTCCTTTTAGAATGAAGCGCATATAATTCCCATGTAGCCATCGCCTATGCAATGACCATCGATAAAATGGAATGACATGCTTTGCAAAAGGTTGGACTATATTTACCAAAACCTGTATTTTCCCATGGACAACTTTATGTGGCTATATTATGTATTACTTCGAGAGCTGGTTTGAAAATTCTGATAACGTATTCTATGGGTAAGCCACAAACCAATACTTTCAACGTTGTATACAAGGCCGTCTTTCAGAATGTAAGGAAACGATTGTTAATTTTATTTGTTTTGGTTTAGACTTTTACTAATAAAATAGTTTGTTTTAATGATACTTTAGTTTACTAATGCTTTAGAATTGATATTCTTTCTCTTTTTCCAATAATGATTATCTAGATTGTCGAGAATCGATATTTTTATTAAACATAAAAGAAATCGAGTACAAAACCATAATGGTGTTTGAAAAGTACACACTGAAACAAACTGCAACTTAAAGATTTGCAGTATTGGAATGTTGTACACATAACGATAATGGTCACGATTGATACAGTGATGAGTTTTTTCAAAAGTATTATTATCCAACTATCAAAATTTATGGGTTTATTAACGATATAGATCACAATACCATTATCCAACTATCGAATTTTTTATTATTATAAAAAATAAATAAATAAAAAATTAATAATAGTTAGAATTGTTAGAACAAGAGAATATTATAATATATAATTTCAAAAGATTATATATAACTTACAAACCTCTTGCTTATCAATGATCACTTCTACAAATTTTGTAATCAGCTTCGTATACATCGCAAACCCGCGTTTGGCGCGAATCCTCACCTAGTTAAATGGTAATTATGGGTATATTTATTTAAATGAATGATGATTGATGACTAATTTTTTAAAAATGAAATTAAGACCAAAATTTAATGATTAAAACCTTAGTTGTCATGAAAATCATCAAACATATATAGGCAATTTCTATGAAACGGAAGAAATAAAAATAGGACCTTTGTTTTGGGCAAAAAAGAAATTGGACCTTAAAATCATGATGTCTTGATCTGTTTGGTTTTGACAAATCCGAAATTTCATTATTCGGAAATGTGAAGATGATAACTTGATGTCCAAGCACACTTTAAAAAGCAAATAACAACTTTCAAGAATAACCATGGTTTATTGTAAATTAAACTAATGTTAAGTTACTTTTGGACCACACTCAAGAAGAAAAACGGTTAATTCAATAAACAACCAAGCAGATGCATCATTATAGTCCGAAGGACATTTTGTCTATTTATACTCAAAAGAGAAAGATTGTTTGGCCGGATCAATCGCTTTCCAAGATGGCACTTTGGCGTTTGAAGATGCAGCTTTAGCGGCTGGTTATGGAACATGATGCTCTAATTTCTGCAACTATAAATTGGCTGCTTCGGGTATTAGAGAAAGAGTAAGAGTCTTGATAAGATCATAGTGTAGTAAGTGTTGGTGGTACGCTCCGCTCCCCGGTCCGGATCGGCTAGAGACCGAGACCGGCCCAATTAACCCCGGTTTACGATGGTCTTAGCCGAAGTGGGCCAGACCTGACAGCGCGGCTCATTAGAGAGAAGCCCAGCGACGAGAGGCGGTGAGAGCTGAACGAAAAGCCCTAGAACGTCTCTTCGTTTGTATACTATAAATAGTAGAATTGTTACTGTAGAAAGGATATTTTTCGGACCCGGAGAATAGAGACCTGAACATTGTATTGAGTTCGCTGAGAATCCTCCGAACTGAACGAACTGTAACTGAGAACTTAATAAAATCTGATCAACTTAAGATCTTTCGAACTCAAATTACCGGACCGACCTCAAACAGTTGAATATAGTAATCAATAGTAAGAAGAAAAAAAACTTGTAAGCATAAAAACCTGTTCTTTGTTTTCTCTAGCACATGAAGTGGTTCAAAGTGAGTCTAAGTAATAGTGAAGGACTGAAGGGTATTAGATGTGTCACTTATACCTTCTTGTTGAAATCATTATCTGAATCTGGTGGATTATGAATAGAGTTTTGAGAGAACCTAACGACCCTAGCTAACAACAAGCGTAAACTGGTTAAATTTATGTGTGTGATCCTTTCTATCTCTCTCACAAGTCACATCTTCTTTTTCTCCTTTAGGGTGCAAAGAGTCCTTACACTTGACTTACTATTGTATAAAGATTTAAAATTTTCTAAATAACTTACAAACTCTTTGCCGTTTCAAAATTAATGATGGTTATATAAAACTTTGTATCGCCAAATCTCATGTTTTTAGCCGCCATAATGCTATATGCGAACGCATCACTGAATATGGTATAATGTCACCAAACACATGCTATAAGAAATCAAATTTTTTTTTTTTTTTGGCTTTGATTTCTCTGTCACTTAGTCTCAACTTGTTAATTTGTCGTTGATCACATATGAAATAAATACCCCATCATATATTTCTGTCATAATTAACTTTAGTAAAGGCCACTATAAACAATTTTATTTCAACACCAAAGTATCTCTTATTAGCACCCATATAATGAAATTTTGTGATTCTACATTCGAAAGACCAGCGGCAAAGATTTTTCCGCTAAAATAATTTAATTTGGTCATTTTCTTACCCATTAAGGTGAGCACATTTCTTTCTTTTTTTCAATCTTAAGAGAACAAAAAGGTCTTGATATCAAATCGCAAAAATGTTTTAGAAATTTCATCAAACATCCAAATACCATACCATACCATAGCACACAGCGACAATAAGGTTCGTGCAAGAGAGGAAAAAAAGGTAATAGTCAGAACTTTATTATCCTTCATTAAATGCTGAGTTTGTGATATTTCAATAAATAAATTTCTGATTGGTAAGGATTTTTTACTTAAAAATAAAAATTGAAATAAGAAAACAAAAAAAGCAACGTGAGGAAGTAGAGAGAGAGAGGAACAAAAAGTGTACGGACTCTGTGCATATTCCCCCATAACCTCCCACACTCTCTCGCCGCCTCTCCAGTTTTCGTCGTCTTCTACATTTTTTCCCAAATCTCTTTGAATCCGTTAGAAAAAAATCTCCAGGAAAACTCGAAAGCATTGATTCAGGTTTCGCACACTCCCAAACTCGTTCTCTCTCTCTCTCGCTCTCTCCAGCGATTCATCAAATGCGTCTCGGATTTTGATTTTTTTCTTCTGGTTCATGAGATTTTTTTTTTGAGTTTTTTCCGGTTTTTGATGTTTGCAGAAGAAGATGGAGACGAAAACGGTGCTTGAATGTGAGCAAGGACATGCGGAGAAGAAAAAGGGACATGATACGTCGCCGGTCACCGTCGTTCTCAGCGTGGATTTGCATTGCGATGGATGTATCGCGAGAATCGTCACTTTAGCTCGTCGCTTAGAAGGTCCGATTTCTCATTAAACCCTAGAAAATCAAAATCGAGTATCCCAAAAAGATCTTTAATATCGATCGTGTCATGTTTTTGTCTCGTTCTGTTTTCCTCTGCGCTTGAGTTTTTCCCATCTAGATCGAGCACTCCAAAACCTTCAATGGTTTATCAGTTTCTGTTTTGCTTTTTCCTGGATCTAAATTACAGAATCGTAACTCTGTTTTCCGCCATTTAAACGCAGCAACTGTGAGGAAGTTGATCTCTAGTGTTTTTGGATTTGTGCGTCTTCGTATCATGAGAAAACTCCTTAGGATTTTCCAGGAATCTAAGAAGATCTTTTGGTAGTGACTTAACACAACAAATTGCAATCGATTTGCTTCAACACTCTTTTTTTTTCTTGTAATTGTTTCAGGTGTTGAAACAGTGAGAGCAGATCCTGTTACGAACAAGCTTACTCTGATTGGATTTATGGATCCAGTGAAGGTTACAGAGCAATTGCAGAAGAAGAGCATGAAGAAGATTGAGTTGTTATCTCCAAAACCAAAGAAAGAAACAAAAGCAAACAGTGACACAAAGGCTGATAACAAGAACAAGACTATGGTTAGGCTCTAATTCACCTTGAAAACACATTCATTGCATGCGTTTATAAGACTCGATTAATTACAAAAACACGTCTCTCTCGAAAAACCAGATAATGATTAGTGACTATGTAAGACTTGTATCAAGAGTTTGATGTCTCTCAGACTTAACTTGCGTATCAAGTAAACATTCTTCTTCTGTGATTACTCATTTGTAGATAAGTATTGTAGCCATTATCATCTGTTTGCTCACATGGGTTAACTAGTTTAGCCTTTCTTTCTAAATAAACACCACAAAAGGGAATTTATGACAACTGCTCTTGGCTTTCTTGTCTTTAGGTTGCTGTGTCCACAGTGATACTGAAGCTAAATTGCGCATGTGATGGTTGCATCAAGAGGATTCACAAGACTGTCTCTAAGACCAAAGGTCAGACTTTTTTCACTCCCTAAAGTGTGATAATTGATGAAACTGTTCGGGTTTTGGTATTGACTCATACAGAGCTTAATTTTGCGATTTTTTTTTGTAACGGCGTTTGAGTGTATTTATCAACAGGAGTCTACCAAGTCAAAATCGACAAGGAGAAGGAAGTGGTAACAGTCATGGGAACGATGGAAGTTAAATCTGTGACGGATAATGTGAAAAGGAAGCTGAAGAAAACAGTCCAGGTCTTGCCTGAGAAGAAGAAGGACAAGAAGAAGGACAATGCAGAGGGAATCACCAAAGTCGACGGGTCTCCGGGTCTACCATGCTATGGTTTCAACCATGGGCTTGGGCCTTACGGTTTTATGGAAGGCCCACTTACGGAGTTTTTCAGAGAGGAGGATCAGAGCTTTTGCTACGTTATGTGATTTTGGAGGAGGTGACAAAAGATCTGAGTATATCACAGAATCTATATTGGAGGCGTATATATAACTAGTAGTGAACAGACAAAGAAAAAAGAAACTAAAGTTAGGAGAGATATATTTTGGTGATGGTCTATAAGACTGTATCACATTATATGAGTAAATTAAAGGATTCGCTTTTATATATTGTAATGGTAAATTTAGAGTCGTATACATTTAGTAAAAGATTACTCATTATATATTAAGATAGCAAAAAAAGGGATGTCATAAGAGTTCTTTCTCCTTTTTTTAATTCGTTTTTGAGTTCTATGAACTGGTTTACCAAGCACATTAGAGAAAGAACCACAGCTTTCCCAGTCACTCTCAACTTCACAGTATATACTACTTATAGCAACTGCTTTACCTTTACTTTTATATATACCAATCAAGCTCTCACTCACTTCACTTATAGGCAGCATGAACCATTTGTTTCTTTAAACTTATTTTGAATGTATTTCATTTACTAAATAGGGGTCTTCGGCTTTTTGGTTTTTCTTTTCTGAATATTTTCAATTTCATAGGTTTTTTCTTATAAATTAATGTAATCTAGAAAGGGTGTACAAATTAAAAAGAATAATAGAATGAACATTTCAAAAAAAAATGCAGTAATAAATGTAGTATATATGAATAACATAATGAGACAGATTTGTTTTTAAGAAATCACAGAAAAAAATGACACATCATCATGATAATAATTTGAGATTTTTTTTGTTTCTTTTCATGTTCGTACCCTCGCAACATTCAGCGTCTCATTTGTGGTTGCTCCTCACATGACTAAAACATATGATGCATGTTTGAGATGTTTCAGATTTTGACTGTTTTTAATAAATTTCTCCTTAGAAGTGCAAATAGAGATGTAATAAATAAAGATATTTGAAAAAAAAAAATCAAAGTGGTAACAAAGAAAGTTATAAATTATGGCAACATCAGGATTTAATTGAAGGAAGAGAGTATACAGAATAAGAAACTTTCAAAAAAAATATTACTAGGATTATCAAAAAAAAGAAATTTTTTTTCTTTTTCTAGGTGAGTTATATTGTATAAGTATAATATAATTACGTCGACGACATAAAAGGAAACAAATCTTATTTCTTATTGGAAAATATTTGTGTTTCTGTTAATATATGATCTTACTTTCTCCCTTGTCAAATATTTAAGGAAAACAGTTACAAATTACTCCGTAAAATCTTGTCATTTACAGTTTTAGAACTTTATATATAGAGATGTAGAAAAATATTAGTAGTCGAATTAAAGATTTAAAACTTTTTATCTCAATAATTTTATTTAGTGCACAAAAAATGTGCAGATTCTTGTAATATATAAAAGAAAAGCTTCACAAAACTTTTCCAACTTTTTTTACCTCTTAAAAATTGTTGGTGCCACCATATACCTGTGATATATTGTTAAAGATGAGTTCAAAAATTTTTTGTTCTTTTTGATATCCTATAGATCATACTCCAATGAATAATCTATTTTGCATGCATTCGTACCCTCAACATTTCTTGATTGTCATCATGCACATTCTCCTTGATGTTCCATATACATCATACTATACTGGTTATGAATACCATTGCTATAATATGACTAGCTGTATTGGCCAAAATAACTTTAAAATCTTTTAAATTAATTATATCTACATTCGAAAAAATCTCTTAAACCGGTGACATCCATCTTTGTGGTTTTTATTTGCAAAATGATAAAGCTAACATTTACATATTTCATTCTTTTTTTAACTAATCATTGTAATCACTGACCGTTTGATCCCTCCGAATCGTCATATAATAGTAAATATATTTGTGATCACATTTGTCATGCTAAAGACCTAATGTCATGTTCGACATTCTCCATGCTTAGCAACCGTCTAACAGTTGCAATTACCTCGTACATGACTAAACTATATTATGCATATTAATTATGGTTGTTTCAGATTTTGATTGTTCGTAATGGATTTGTCCTTGAGATTGCAAATGGAGACGAAATAAATGAATACATGTGAAAAGAAAAACTCAAAATAAAGATGTTTGACAAAAACAAAACCTCCCATTTCGATTTAACTGTATTCCATTTTGATTTAACGATACTACATATGGGTTAAATCATTCAGAAAACTTACTTGAAGCATTTCTACATTATAAATATAGTTTTTTTTTTTGAACATTTTCATTGCATTAAAATTAAATGAAGCAAAGGTGTTTGAATGTTACTATACAAGCCAACCTTAATTTGAAACTCATAATAGAAGAACCAAGATGAAATAAAATAGAACGATAGACCAAACCAGTGATAATACGAGAGCCCGGCGTCCAAGATAGCGATAGAAAAGCCGGCCCATAAAGCCCAAAATAGTCCCGATCCAAAAGAAGCCCACATTGCCTAACCGTGATGCCCTAACCAGAAGGAGGTAACGAGAACAGTCTTCAGAAAAAGAAACCAAATCGGATCTGATACCGACTAGATTCAAAGAAGAGAGAACCAAAGCTGCATGTAATCACTTGCCCAGGTTTGGTTTTGACAGCGAAAAGCTGAAATTCGATTCCTGATGGTTGAAGAGATAACTCGGGACACAACTTCAGGAGGACGGAGAATGTTGCGATGGAGTCTTCCATTTCTCTCATTCCAGATTTCGTAGATGGATGCTTGCCAAGATAATTTAGCGAGATAGATTAGATGCTTGTTACCAGAAATCGATGATAAATCATCAATAACACCAGACCAAGAGTAGTGAAGGCTTGCCATGCCGAACTTCGTGGCAAAAAAATGCCAAATGGAAGCCGAGTAGTCACATTCAAAAAGGAGGTGGTTCCTTGATTCATTTGCGCGGTTACAGAGCAGGCATAATGGATCAGTTTGGAGACCCCAGGATTGTAAACGATCGCGAGTAGGGCAGCGATTCAGCAAGAAAAGCCAGGCCGTGCATTTGTGCTTTGGGATACCTCTTTTGATCCAGATTAGTCGATGCCAAGGGACAATGGGATGAGGATCGCGAATACAGTGATAGATAGAAGACGAGCATAAGGAGGATCTAGCTCTTCCTTCAATAACCCATTGGAGAGTATCTTCATTTGAACTAAGTTCAACAGAGGTTAAATGGAGGTGGAGCTGCTCCATTTTCTCAGATCTAGCAGGGGAAAGAGACCATCCATTATGCCTCCAAACCGAGGAAACCGTCACCGTCAAAGGGATACCCGAAAAGCGGGGGCCTTGCTCCCCGATGAATTCGATGAGAAGGCCATAAGGAGTCCATGGATCGAACCAGAATCTGCACCTGGAGCCAATACCAGGAACCATCGTAACCCATTGGATAATCACACTTCTCAGACGCAGAAGCTGCTTAAATAGCCAGGTATGGCTCTGCTTTTCCTTAATTTCCCATATGCTGGAGTTTTTAATGACATTCTGGTGGATCCAGGCCACCCAAATTGATTCAGAGCGAAAGAGAAGGAGCCAGAAAAACTTGATGGAGCATGTCTTGTTCCAAAGCAGCAAGTTCCTAATGCCAAGCCCACCCTCTGTTTTTAGCGAGGTGACTGTTTCCCAAGAGACACGAGCCGAATACCGACCCTCCAAAGATCCTTTCCAAAGGTAGGCACCACAGAGAGAATCAATTCTTTTTATGCATTCCATAGGAAGAACATATGCACTGCACCAGAAATTTGGAATACCACCAATGACAGAGTTTATAAGAACTTGCCTCCCAGCGAATGATAGATATTTGGCAGACCACCCATTAATTTTTTTCTTGATGCTCAGCAAGAGCGGTTCACAATCCAGGAGCGAGAGCTTTTTAGGCGAGAGAGGGAGCCCAAGGTATCGGATGGGGAGAAACCCAAGAGGAATTCCCGAGCTGGAGGCAATGGCTTGAGTTTCTGAATCACTAAAGCGACAAGCAAAGAAACATGACTTCTCAGGACTCGAGGCAAGCCCAGAAAGCACCCTGAATCTGTCCAGGACTTCCAGAATGGTACGAATAGACGAAGGAGATCCATCAGAGAAGATTAGCAGATCATCCGCAAAGCAAAGGTGAGTCAACTTGGAGTCTTTACATTTAGGATGATACACAAAGGACCCATTAGCAGCTGCATCATTAAGCATTTGAGATAGGACATTCATAGCCAGGCCAAATAATAAGGGGATAAAGGGTCCCCTTGCCTTAACCCTCTTGTGCCTTTGAAAAAACCATGCATTCTGCCATTAATGCTGACAGAAAATGAAGGAGAGGTAACACACGCTGTAATCCATTTGATGTAGGTCTCAGGGAAATGAAGAGCATCTAGACAGTTGATTAGCAAATCCCACCGAATAGAGTCAAATGCTTTAGCAATATCAACTTTTAGGGTAACTCTTTTTGTACCTTTATTTTTATGGTACCCACTGACAATCTCCGATGCAAGTAAGCAGTTTTCAAGCAGCAGCCTACCTTTGATAAGCGCTGTTTGGTTAGGCAGGATCAGCTTAGGGAGGAGAGGTTTTAACCTGGCGACCAACAACTTAGAGATGAGCTTGTATAGGGTGTTGCAGCATGCAATTGGCTGAAAATCCTTAATGACCGAGGCACCAGGAAGTTTCGGGATAAGCGTGAGGATAGTAGAGTTGGCCGCAGCAGGCAAGCTGGAGGATTGAAAAAACTTGGCAATAGAGGTAATAACTTCATCTCCAATAATTCCCCAAGCAGCTTTATAGAATCCGGAGGTGAGGCCATCAGGCCCAGGGCTTTTGTTAGGATTAAGCCTGCAAAGAGTTCTTTTAATTTCGTCATCAGATGGCATCCTAGAGAGGGAGAGAGCATGAAAAGGGGAGCATTTAGCTTGATAAATATCCGAAAGAATTGGCTGGTAGAGAATACCATTAGAAAACATCGGTGGACCCAAGATACTTTGAAAGTGGCTAACCGCGAGTTAACCAATGGCTTCAGCAGTGGAGACAATCTGACCATCAAGCCCAGCCAAAGAGAGGACAGAGTTATAAGCATTCCTTGTTTTGCAGACCTTGTGAAAATAATCAGAGTTTTGGTCACCGGAGGCAAGCCAATTAATGCGGGACTTCTGCTTGAAATACTTTTCCTCGATTCCTTTAAGCATATTAAGCTTATCAATGACTTGTCTCTCTTGCAGGAAGTGGATCGAGCAGGGACACTGAAGCGAAATCAGCGGAGCGGAGGAGACAAGGGCAGAAGCTTCACTGACTCGTTTTTGAATATCCGAAAAATTGTCTTTGTCAAGAGATTCTAGGCCAACTCGCAGAGATTTCTGCTTGAACAGTATAGAGGAGAGGTTGTGATCAACAGAAGGAGTGACACTCCAAGCGTGGGCAACAGTTTCAAGGAAGTCCGGGTGAGAGACAAGGTAGTTGAAGAACTTGTACGGCTTAGAGCCAGCCACAGGCAGAGAAATCTCAAGGCTGATACAACACGGCGCATGATTAGAGAAATCCGGGGCCAGGAATTTCGCAAAGCTGCGGGGGAAGACGGAGAGCCAATCCTCATCAATGAGGGCTCTGTCTAGCTTTTTGGCAATAGGGTTAACCGGCTGCTTATTAGACCAGGTAAATTTTTCTTCTTGGTATCGCAGATTACGAGCCTCAATTTTGTCCAAACAGTCCTTAAAGTCAATCATGGTTGAACTGAACTGGTTAACAGATGGGCAGGAGTGCTCAGATGGATGGAGGATTTCATTGAAATCTCCCCCAATCAGCCAGGGGGAGGAACCAATCAGAGAGGAAGAATGGAGAGTAATCAGATCGATCCAGAGATCATTTCTCTCCTCACTTGTATTGGCAGCATAGACAGCAGTAAAGCAGAAGGCTCTGATACCCGGCCAGGAGACTTTAACAGTCATCGATTGGCGAGAAGAGTGCAAAACATCAACCAGAACGGGACCTTTCCAGATAAGAATAATCCGACCATCAGGGTCATCAGCATGGTTAGAAGCGAAAGACCAGCCAGGGCAAACAGTGTTCATCCAGTGATTCAAACTTGGTTCTTTAATATGAGTTTCAAGTAAGGCGCCAAAAATAATACGGTTAGACAGCAGCCAACATTTAAACAAAAGGTGAAAAAATATATTTTTGTCTAACATAAAAGGGATTAAATTGGGGACTCACCCTTTTAGGGGAGAGAACCCACTGTAGGGGTAGTAGCAGGCAGACAAATTTGAAAAGAGGTGCTACAAAGAGAAAGGGTTGGAATGAAAGGATTATCAGGAGGCAAGGGAGGGATAATTTCTGGGATAATAAGGTTTGATTTTGAGGTTGATAAGTGATGAAGAAGGGGAGAGAAGGGCATTGACGGAGGGGATAAGAGGGAACCACTGGATGAGGACCCATGGGGGTCAGTGGAGGCACAATCCATATGGGAGTCACTCACAACAGGATGAGAAATCTCCGAGACAAGGACTAGCCCCGCAAAAGGTTTTAGGTAAGGGGTAATCACTTGAGATTTTGGCAGGGAAATTGGACTTTCCGGAATGGGAGGAGGCTGCTTAGAAATACTTTTAGCAATCCTTTTAGTAACTGGTTTAAAGACCAAGCCAGAATCAGCAATATCAGAAGATTTAGGGTCACCCACGGAGTCTGCAACAAGAGGATCAGCTGGCTGGGGGGCAGCAATAGGGCCAGATTCATTACCAGTGGACTCACCCCGAAGGATATCAGTGTCCTTATTTCTCTCACTCCAAGAAGCAGAGGGGCAAAGAGCTTCAAGATGACCCAATTCCTTACAACACGGACAAGTAGGGGGAATCCAAGGATAGTCTATGAATAAGGGGATAATCTCTCCATTCTCCCTTTCAATTTCAGCAAATGTAGGAAGAGGTTTGGTACAGTCAGCTCTTATCTTGATGTGAGCGATATTGATGTTAACCATTCTTCTAGTAAAGTCATCGCATTCCATGGGGAAGCCCAATAAGTCAGCAACTCTGCCCAATCCCTCCTGAGTGTATAAGTCGAAAGGGATACCTCTGACGTGAGCCCAGAGGGGGATGGAGGTAAAAGAAGGAGGTTTTACCGCGAGAGACGAGGACCATTGGGCCACATAAAAGAGGGAGTTCCCTATGTGCCAGATCTCTTGCTCAACAATTTTCCTTCTGATGGAAGCATTAGGAATGCGAACAAGCATCGATCTGGAATCAGGCCGAAGGTGGATTTCAAGTTTCATGCCACGACCCCATATGTGAGTCAAGACACTTTGGATGTGACCAAACGAAGGGGTTTTTCCCATAAAAATCCCCAGCACAAAATCGTGATGCAAATCAGCTCCTTTCCTGAAGACCGAGTCAGGGATTTTGACTCTAGAAACTCCATCAGGGGAAAGACTAGGGTTAGAGAATTTTTTCAATTTCTTATCCACAGAGGATTGCATCCTCTGAGCCCAGCTAGAGACTGCGGCTTGGGAGGCTTGGATGACAGAGGCAGGGATAGTAATATCAGTTTTGGGGAGGGGAGACTCAGTCGACGGAAGAGGGGGAAGGGTGTCGACAAGGGAAAAAGCAGGGATTTCCAGTTCAGGCTGAGAGCCATGAAGAGAGGATCCTTCAACCGACGAAGGAACAGTAGCGATTACAGAAGCCGGAGGGGCTTCCTGCATAGTAACATCGATAGATCCAAGATGGGGCTGAGAAGAGCTCATAGGGGAAGAGCAAACAGGTCCATCAGTAGTCAAGAGAGGTTGAGAGACAAGATGTTCAGGGGGAACATTAGTAGGAGGAATACCAATAACCGGCAAACGAGGACAGCCCCATGGACTCGAAGAAGACGGAGAAGTACCAAATCTGATGGAGAGAGCAGCCGCGGATGGCGAGGAAGGAAGAGGGGGAAAACTCAAAAGAGAGCCGGCGTTAGGCGGCTCCAGGGGGGCCGGGCTGAGGGGGCACCGGCCATGAAGGAGGCTGAAAAAAGACCTAAAAATCGCCAACTTTATCGCGGGAGAGAGAAGAGAGAGTCTTTTTTTTTCCTTTTTTAATTTTTTTTTTATTATAAATATAGTTGATGTGTTTCTACCTGATCTATCTTTAGTTGTTGGATTTTTTTTATTGAATATTTTTTTTCTTATATAAAATTCCATTACCTGCCATTTAAGTTCTATGTGTGCCATTCTGTTTCGATTTAACGGCACTGTTAATGTTGAGGAATTAAGATATTATTGAAACCGCTAACAGAGAAAGTATACTTAGTTTTAAATAGCTCATGAGGAACCATGGCACTAAGATCTTAGCCTTAGTTGTTCTGAGAAATTAGGGATTTCAAATCTTTAAATTGGTTTATTACTAATTTAGTTGGCACATGGAAAATTTAATTTTTCAAACCGGGTTGGGTTGATATTTAGGATTAAAATCAACCATCTTCTCCATCCGAGTGAGCCGAGCCGCCTCTGTAACAAACAGAAGAACAGTGGCCATGGCACAAAGCTCAGGGTTAGGAGTGACATTGAGCGCGTGAACGAGTTTAAAAACCCAAACAAACAAAGAGTGGATACAGGAGATTCTTTGCCTTTTATTTTATAGATCTGGTTGATTTTTGGTTTTGATTCCTAAAATCTGGATGGATTTGTCCTAAAATTCTTAGATCCTTCTAGGTCTGTTCTTTGATGCTCATTTGGGTGTCTCTTCTTCAGTCCTTGTGTCAGATCTGGCCGATTCGTTTCCAGCAGAAGCGGTCCTTCAGTTTCTTTTCCGTCTCAGTTATGGAGGTTTTCACCATGGTTGGCTTCTTCTCCTTGCTTCTATCTCTCTTGATGAATATAATGCTTCTCAGGTTTTGTATGTTTGTTTCATCCTTGAATCGTCCATGGCTCCGCTTCATCCTTCGCCGGAGCAGAATAAAGAGGTTCTTTTGATGTCTCATCCGTTTCTCTCGTGTAGCAAGGAGTGTTTTGAATCTTAATCTGATTGGTGTTACTCTATACTCAGATTTGACTTCTGAGTTCTGGATCTTAGAGCATATGTGGTTCATCAGATTAAAATAATATATATTTTTTTCGTTTTTGTAATAAACTTAGGTTATGTTTGAGGTTCCAGTAATGAACCCGTTTATGGGGTTCATCCGGAATTTTATATTAATATTTTTTTTGGGAATTTTTTTTAAAATAAAATAAAACATCACTTATTAAAAAAAGAATACAATATATTGCAAACTATAGAATAATACAATTTATTAATTAAAAAAATACAAACACCCAATTTTTAAAATATAAAAATACTTAAACATTTGTTACACATTTAAGAAGTACCAAACTTATTCCAAAGATTTTTGATTAAATCTGCTTTCAATCGTTCATGTATTCGATAGTCACTGATTTCGTTTCGTTTCGCCATCATCAAATTTGAGACATTTGTCGGCCTATTTGTAGAATACGACATATCGACATACGAATTTCTGCTTCCCTCATCTTGTTGGAATTGTTCTATATTGGCGAGACTGTAGCTATCACATTCATTTTCTACTACCATATTGTGTAATATGATAGAAGCCCGCATAATCTTGCCAATTTTTTCTTTATCCCAAAAAAGAGCTGGATTTTTAATTATTGCAAATCGAGCTTGAAGAACGCCAAAAGCCCGTTCAACATCTTTGCGGACAGATTCTTGAGCTGTTGCAAATAACTTATTTTTTTCTCCTTGCGGAAGATGAATTGATTGTATAAAAGTAGCCCACTTCGGATAAATACCGTCTGTTAGATAGTATGGCAAACGGTACTCGTTACCGTTAACCCAATATCTCACTTTTGGGGCTTCACCATGCAATATGTCATCAAAAACGGGAGAACGATCAAGAACGTTAATATCATTTAATGTACCTGGAGATCCAAAAAATGTGTGCCATATCCAAAGATCTTGTGATGCTACAGCCTCTAAAACGATAGTCGGCTTTCCTGATCTGCGTGTATATTGTCCTTTCCAGGCTGTTGGGCAATTCTTCCATTCCCAATGCATGCAATCAATGCTTCCTATCATCCCGGGGAAGCCCCGTTCTTCGCCAAGGTCCAGTAAGCGTTGGAGATCATCAGGTAAGGGTCTTCTTAGATACTCATCTCCGAACAAGGATATTATTCCCTCAGTGAAATTTTCCAAACATAACAAGGCTGTACTAGCACCAAGTCGGAGATATTCGTCAACTGCATCAGCTGCTGTGCCATATGCCATCATAAGAATGGCTGCCGTACATTTTTGTAGAGCGGAGAGACCTAATCTGCCAGTAGCATTTCTTCTTTGTTGAAAATATGGAACTTCATTGGATAGGCGGTAAACAATAGGAACAAATCCAAGTTCATACGAAAACGGCGTCGGAATGTATGTGGAGGATAGGTTGCATCATCACTGAAGTAATCGTTCCATAAGCGGATGTGGCCTTGTTCCCGCTCTCTTTCAATGTATTTTTTTTTTTTTTTGCCTTTTTTGTGCAAGCTGATTTAACATAGAATCAAACTTGTCATCAAATTTCTGATCGAACATGTCATCAAATGCATCATCTTCAGCATCATCGACTGAATCTTCATACACATCCTCTAAACGATTGCTTGAAGATGCCATAGTGTTTAGGTGTTAAAATGTTGTAATAAAAGAGAGAGAGATGTGTAGAATTGATTTGTGGAGAAATTTGGGTAAAAAGTGCAAACGATGCCTTGAAAATTTTGATAATAAAAGAGAGAGAGGGAGATGTGTAGAATTTGATAATGAAGATTTTGTGCAAACGATTGCTTGAGAATTGTGATAATGAAAAAAGTGTTTAGTAGAGAGCATATAAGTCTTCGAGCGTGTTTGCAAATAGAAGTCTTTGAGAGCATATAAATACACGAGTGGCAATAATAAGATAGTGGGAAACATAAGGTCTAAATTACAACAGAAAATATGTGGATAGTAGAGAATACAACAAAAGCATATGGCCCCTCAAATTTTGTTGCATATAGTCACGGAAGTGTCAGCCATAACCTACCAAAAAAAAAAAAACGTGAAGGTCAGAACAATTATATGAGTAAATCAGACAAGTAAATGAAACATCAAAACAACACACATCCAATCAAAATAACAAGGTCATAAATAAAGCAATCAAAATAACCCAAAGCAAAACATGGTTCATAACCGATAACCAAACATAGTCATACCTAAAGCAAACAAACTTTAAACAAAACCGATAACCAAACATAGTCATACGTAAAGCAAACAAACTTCAAACAAATGGCCAATGACACAACCAAAACAAAACCAAATCACTATGACAAAAGCATATGGCCAATGACAAAAACAAAACAAAATGACAAAGTGCATACAAAAAATAACTTTATGTCATACCTAAAGATCATATATAGCTCTAATTAACTTGGTTTTAAGTGCCATATCTATCTCATTAAGTGGTTCAGTTTTAGCTAAAAGGCTCTCAAGTATCCTCTTGTCTCTAATCTTATCTTTGAGCTCTAGATCCCTTTGTTTCATTTCCCACATGGAAGAAAACTTCTTCATGTCCTTGTTGTCGGCTTTGGCACTTGCTGACTTTTTCACACTGGCCTTAGAAGCTTTCACTTCAGGCGGATGAGCCTCGAACTCTTGGTCATTCTCGCTTGCAGGCATGGAGGTTGTAGACTGAGCCGAGTCTGCCACCTTTCTTCTTTTTGATGACGCACCGTCCGGAGCTTTGCCACTCGTGCACCATTTTTGGTCGTGCCTCAACTCTCTCCATGCATGTTCCAGGCCAAACTTGATGCCGTAGTCATTGAAGAAGATCTCATGTGCGAGCTTCATCACGCCGTTGTCATTCTGACCCGATGATTTCTCCTTTAGTGCAGCTGCGTATGAGCCCACAAATTTGCAAACTTGATCATTTAACCTTCCCCACCGTTGCTTGCATTGAGTCTACTCTCTCCTTGGCAGTCCCTCTAAATCTTGGCTTGCATTGTAATACAACTGAATCCGCTTCCAGAACGAACCTAAACGCTGTTCTTTCCCGACTATCGGGTCCTTGCTGGTGTTGATCCAGGCACTTATGAGGACCAAGTCTTCTTTCGGCTACCATATTTTTCTCTTCAATGCATTCTTCGTTGGCTCTTCTGTGCCTTGCGTACTAAACGAAGGCATTTCCGATGATCCTTAAGTCTATGCACGGTGAGTATGAGTCAGTGTTGTACTGACTGGTTAAAAGGTTGACAAACCCTTCACACGGTGTAACAGAGTTCTGGGAATCCATAGAAAGAGTGAAAGAGTTGATGGTTGGGAGTTGAGATAGCGAATGAAGAAGATAGTGAAAGAGTTTTAAAAGTAGAGTGAATGAAGAAGATAGTGAAAGAGTTTAAAAGTAGAGTGAATGAAGAAGATAGTGAAAGAGTTTTTAAAAAAGACGACAAGGCAAGAAGATAGAGAAAGAGTTTGAAAAAAGAGAGTGAATGAAGTAGAAAGAAGAGAGTGAGTTCAGGAAGTGACTTAAATGACTGAAAAAGTTACACGAAAAAGAGAATGAATGAAGTAGAGAGAAGAGAGTGAGTTGAATGTCTTAAGTATAAGGTATTTAAGTTTTAAATATGGTTGAGTATCTTTTATTTTATGGTTGACTGTCTTATCATTGTGTCTTAATGCCTCAGTGTCTTTTACGTTTAAAGGGATAGTAGTTGAGAGTGTTCTTAAAGTTTTAAAGGTTAACGTTTTAAAGTTTTCTACCAAGTTCTCAACATTTTCGAGCAAATTTAGATATCATTTAACACACAACCTAACCCTAAAATGTCATATCAAGCATAGATAACCAGTCCTAAAGCTAACATCATAAAGCCATTTACCAACTACATTAAAGACGACCAGGCAAGTTACAAGGGAACTAACCTTTACTCGGTGAGCAATATGCCTTGAACTGAACCATGTTTCCGTGGAGTCCATTAAAGATTACCCTCAAACAAAATAAAAAAGACCCATTAGACAACTACATTGATTGAGCCGACCTAAACTTCACTTAAACACTAACCAACTACAGTACTTGAGACATTTCTAAACCCTAAACGTATAGGCAATAGCTGCGATCACAGAAAAGAAAAAAAGGATCAGGAAACTATCACCTTGAGTACTAAGCTGCTCCTTCAAATGCATGACTTCTCCCTTAAGCGTTGATATCTCTTCACGGACTTCTCCCTGAATCGTTGATAGCTCTTCACGGATTTCTCCTATGGCTGGATCGAGAACGTTGCTTCCACTCTGATCAACGCTGAGGATCAGGTCCTTCTGCTGCTCTATCCTACTCACGAGGATCTCAAACTGTTCGGTGACCCCGTCATCCCACCATTGGTGGATGTGATCAAACGTTGCCTACATTCATGACAAACCGTTAGCAAGAACTTAAACTACACATCACAAACCGATGAACTTTTAACAAACCAATACAAACTTAATGAAGACAGAATGCATACCTCGTTGACCCATTCCGGGCAGGCATAGTACTTGCGACCGGCTGCGTTTGCTTTCAACTTCACAACCCGCCCGCAGAAGCACTTCTCCGGTATGCCGTATATGGCATCCGCGTAAGCCCAGTACAAGATTTCCTCAGATGATTCGCTGATATAGCTTGGCATTATCTGTAACAAAAAAAAATACGACCACTTTACTCAAAGTATGAATACGTGAACACAAAAAACAATCGATATTATGGAATAACTAACTAAAAAAGGCAATGTCAAGTAAACCGATCATGTAAACACCAAGAACAATGCAGTTCATCAACGATAATCAGCACAAGTTACTATACTAAACCCGATCATGTAAACAACAACAACAATTCAGTTAATCATCGATAATGGCAAAGTCATTATTGTAATATCATTTATATCAACCAGAAAACGTTTTAAAAAACATTCATATGAACCCGATAAAAGAAAATCTGCTTCGACAATGCCATATGGACTCACACTAATCGTATACACATAATCAGCTTTGTTAATGCATTTTAACATACACACGAGTAATGCATATGGAAGAACTAAACTCCAATTTGAACCCCAAAGAAAAGCCCCAATTAATTCCCCCAAATTGAAAAAACCCTAATTGCTTCGGAAAAAAAATTAACCAAAAGACAGTATAACATGAATTCATATTCGAAAGCAAGTGAAAAACGGTTTAATTTCATTGTATTACACCCCAATTACAACCCCAAATGAAAGTCCCAAAATTTTTCCCCTTTTCATATGAACCCTAATTTCACCGATTTCAATTTCCTTTCAAATCTCCCAAAATATTTCAAATCGTTTTCGTGTTTCAATGAGGTGAAATGACTCGAAATCGACACTAATAACCCAACCTAAACCACCGATTACAGACTTGAAATTTTTCCCCATGAAATCCAAAACCCTAATTTCCCTTTATCGAATGAAATCGGGCAAAAGGAAGAGAAGAAACGCTTACCTCAGCAATAATCACGGAAGCCCGACCCTCGGTTGTCCACTACACCGGCAAAAGTCGACGGTTTCAATGGATTTGACGGAGGTGACGAGAATCGCCATAGGAGAGGAAGAGAGAAAATAAAAAAAAAACTCGGGAAGGAGAAATGATTTTTTGGGAAAAAAAAATTTTCCTTCCCCAAAAATAACGCGAAAATTCCTCCTCTCACGCTTCGCCACGTGTCTGGGATGCAGGTTCATCAAGCTCTTCCGGATGGACCGATCCATCGATTTTGGGCCTTATTTTTTTTTTAAATCCATTTCGCCTTAGAACTCGAGCCAAATCCGTCCAACGGACCACTACTGGACATGGTCTTAGTTTTCGGTTTGTATCTCCTCAGATTTCTAGTTTCTTCAATAATTTAACTTTTTTTTTTAAGTTTAGTTTTTTTTTTATGTATCTTAGTTTCTCCGATCTTTGAGGCTTTGTTTCTGGAGGTTTGGAATCTGCCGGCTTAGTATTTCACCCCGTACGTATCCCACCAATGTATCCTACTTGTAATCGACTTTGATGTTTTAATGAAAAATAGATAAAAAAAAATCATAAAGTATTCTGGATTGCAGTGGTATTTAGATATTATATTTATTTGTTTACATGTCGATAACCCGTTTTGGTTAAGTGACAACCTTTTTTCATCAAAATATCCTACCAAATTTTAGTATACACGAGTTCATGTATCTATAGATTTGAACAAAAAGTGCAAAATCCATCAATATCGAAAACAAGAAAATGATAATCAAATAAAGACCGTGTCGGACCAGCCCTAAGTTAGCGGATGAATGAAGTATAGCTTTCAAATTAAATATGGACTGTTGACTACTAGCGACATTATATGCGTTTTTTTCCCAACTTTGTAATAAGATTTAATAAAAATGTGGAATTATTTATGCAATCATATGTCTAGTCACTAGGTCACATTATGTCAAGATGGTGTTGCAATACGAAGTTGTAAGATATTATCAACAAATTTCCTCCTTGGACTGACGTTCATGAGTACCTTTTTTGGACAATGACCTATCTATTGCAACATGTGTTTTGTGTTAAATGCCGACTACTATTACGACAAAAAACAAATGCAGACTGCTACTTTTATATATGGTAATTTTTATTTCTAGACACGATTATAGTTGGTACGAGGTGATTAGTACATATATGTGAATGTGTATATATTTCATTGTCGACTAGGTTCGTTCGACGAAGGATCCGGAATTTATCTTAAAAAGATATAAAATAATCATAATTGAATTTATAGTATTATACCTTTTTCCCCCACATATATCAATTTTAGTAGTCATCATTAGTGAAAAAGACAAAGTTTAAAATCTCTTGTGAAACGGTATCCACCATCTTAATTAACCAATTAGGTTTTATTTGTCTCAAGATAGTTGTTTCAGCATTTTCCAGATCGATATATGATATTTTGGAAAATGTTCCAAAATCTTGTAGAACACTTAACTAACTATTAAGATCGATTTTAGTAAAATTTGAAACATTCAGAAAAGTTTAGTTTCAGTAAATTAAGGATGTGTAAGTAGCTTAGTGTAAACATGTCTTGGATGTTGATAAGAATCCTATATCTGAACTGTTTAAAGGGAGTTATAGAATTTCGGTTAATCCACTCATTGTTAATTAATTTTAAGTTGAAAGTCTAGGAAACTTAATATGATCAGTGTCTCTTTTTTTATCTAAGCAGGGTGACATAAGAAAGAGTGTATTACCAGCCCTAAATTGGAATTCAGTTTGAAATAGACTGATAAAAGCCATCATTTCAAGGGAACGTTTTAGATTTCCATATCTAAAGTTTAATAGGATTAACACTAATATATAAGAGATTTGGGGTAATCCAGTCATTGTCAATTAGTTTTGAGTTGAAAATTCAAGAAATTTAATATGGAATCAGAACCTTGTTTGTTCATCCACGTAGAATAGCCAAAAATTTGTTATTGGTCCTAGAGTGAGCTTCGATTCAAGATAGACTGATAAAAGTTATTATCTTGAGAGAACGTGTTAGGATCACACATCAAAAAAAATTAAAGAGTATAAAGCATTTGGGTCAATCTATTCATTACAAATTAGTTTTGAGTTAAAAACTCAGAAAACTTAACATTGAAATATCTAAATTTAATTTATAAAAAACATAGATCCTTAGTTATTTACGAAATGTGATATGTTATTTTTAGATATCCATGTTTTTTTAGATCGATCTTTTCCATGTTTTTTTTTAAGTATCTTCAATACGTTTAAATGGGTCATTTAATTGTTTTTTTGTTAAAGGGTTTTCATATTAAAATTAAAATACGTTTAAATGGGTCATTTAATATTACACTATAATCTTAATATATATATATATATATATTATTTTCAGATGGTCAAATTGGCTTTGTAGTAATTCTACAATTTTTAGAATCTATGACAATATATATTTCGTTATTTTGAGTCGGAATCATTTTAATGGCATCACATGTACATCTATTCTAGCTATGATAATAGTACAAAACCGACCACGTAATTGCATGCAGAGACACACAAAGCACAGTACTACGACACAGTTCATAAGGACACAATACTGTTTATATTTAGAAATGACATTTCAAACCCTCAGTTAATGGTGAAAACCTACAATATCATGGATTGAACGTGAAAAATATGGGGGAAAGGTAAAGATGGTTATGGATATGTCATATGTGTTCAAGAAGAAGATATGATCATTTTGCTACGAGCTAAGTGTCAACGGAGAAGCCTTGCTCAAGTTCGTTCGGAGTTGGAAATCTTCGTTTGGGTTATGAAGAATATTGTTTTGAGTGGATAATTTTATTAGGTCTTTAACTGAGACAAGTTATTTTGAAGTGATAAAGATGATAGAACATGTTCAACCTTTCGGAGTGTTGCAAAATTTTTCCAATTTGTTGGCAAATTCTGCTCTCTCTAAGATCATATTATCGATAAGACTTAATACAATTCTTTTTTATGATTCGGTTATTGAAATTGAGACTAAACCTACAATTCTTATTCGATGTTAAAAAGACTAATTAAGTTTTGGATATTTGAGTATTTATCAACAGTAAAACTAGTATTATAGACGATCCCGCAGCATTAGGATTACCAACCATGGTAAATTCTTCGTCAATTTAAATGTGAGGTTAAAAACATTTTTTTCTTTTTGCAAATTCATCACAAACTTGCTGTAAGATAAGAGGATATTCTCCCGCGTTTGTGAATTATTCTTTTATGAATTTTGTTTCAAGCGTCCATTTATGAATATCAGATAACAACAACTGATTCTAAAATCAAATAGAAAATTGTATACCTTCTTTACTACAAGCTAAATTAAGCTAACATCGATACTTTAGTTGTTAATGCAAATTTTACGGCCATTTTATAAAAACATTTCAACACATCTGTCATTTGAGTTTTATATAAGGGCGGATCTATGTGGGTGCAGTAAGTCCCAACTAGAATCATTAATATTTTCGATTGTTGTGGACGTGGTAAAAGAATATTTTTTTGACATGACAAATATCTCACTCTCTTGCTGCCAAGTTACTTTGTCATGTCAAAAAAAAAATTCTCTGAACATGCATATTTTTTTTGCTTTTTTCTTCCTCTTTTTTTTGATAAAGGCTTTTTTCTTCCTCGTTTAATTTATATTTGGTTAAAAGAATATACTAGCAAACGTGCCTTTTTTTGGCGTCCACTGACGACTCAAAATATTTATTATTTTATATTGATTTCACAAATAAACTACAAAACTAATGCAAAATTACTTTGACATGTCAAGATTGTATGTTTTTCCTGATACATCTTATTATATTTCATTTTATGTAAACTAAATTACATGCGTAATGCGTCTGGTAGGAATTTGATCTGCTTCTGCTGGATTGACATGTAAGGTATAAGATAATTAATGTTGTAATTAGGCTTAACATTTAAAATATACATATAATAACGTGTACTTTGTAATATTAACTATATTTTTAATGTAGATTAAAATTAAAAACTTAGACAGAGTGTATATATATAATCCTCATCCTTTTGGAGTTGGAAATGGTTCAAAAGTTGTTCTGAAGAGTAAAGAGAGGAACTCATGATCTAATTAAGTGGGTTTTATGGGTCGTCATGGTTAAATTTTCCTCCATGG